AAAAAAAAAAAAAAAAAAGTTAATCTCTTGGCTGGACATGGTGGTACACATAGTAGCACCTGTAGTCTCAGCTACTTGGGAAGCTGAAATGGGAGGATCGTTTGAACCTAGGAAGTCAAGGTTACAGTGAGCCATGATAATGCCACTGCACTCCAGCCTGGGTGACAGAGTAAGAGCCTATCTCTAAAAAGAAAGAAAAAGAACCAAAGAAAAGAAACTACAACTTTACTGTATTACAACAAGTGTGAAACGCCACTGCTTCTAAGACACCATTTTTTTTTTTTTTTTTTTGATTCAGTGTCTCACTCTGTTGCCCAGGATGGAATGCAGTGGCACGATCTCTGCTCACTGCAGCCTCTGCCTCCCAGGTTCACGCAGGTCCCTCCTCCCAGGTTCCTCCTGCCTCAGCCTCCCAATTAGCTAGAATTACAGGGACCCACCACCACACCCAGCTAACTTTTGTATTTTTAGTAGAGACAGCGTTTCACCATCTTGGCCAGGCTGGTCTTGAACTCTCGACCTCTTGATTTACCTGCCTCGGCCTCCCAAAGTGCTAGGATTCAGGTGTGAGCCACTGTGCCTGGCCGCAAACTTCAAAACTGTCTTATTTTTAGTCTCAGCTCCTTGATGTTATACATGTTATGCAATCATGCTTTCATGTGGGCTAAAGGGGGACATTAATTCCATTTTTCTTATGGATACAGTAATGCAAAGTACCTTTGAGCTTGAATATAGTTTTAGGTAAGTGCAGATTGTAAAATACTTGTCAGAGGCAAAATCATCACTAACTCCATGGTCTGTTGCTTATTACCAGATTTAAAAGAGGAAGACATGCTTAAGGGCATTTGGCACATCAGTTGTGTTGTCTTTCTTCTGAGCGAAAGTTTGTTGTTTTATTTAATGCTTGATTTGGTTGTTTTGTTGTTATTCCATTTCTTTTTAGCTCAGGTAAAACAAACTATGAGTTTCCCATTGCACAGACAAATTAGGAATGAACAGGCTCACGTGAGGGCACATCACCTGCCTCGGCCAAATGATATTTTAATAAAATGTAATTGGGAATTCATAGTCTTTCTGATAGGAAAGGAACCCATAAGAAGCACAAGGAGGCCAGATGCAGTGGCTCATGCCTGTAATCCCAGCACTTTGGGAGCCCTAGGCCAGTGGATCATGAGGTCAGGAGTTCGAAACCAGCCTGGCCAACACAGTGAAATCCCATCTCTACTAAAAATACAAAAAATTAGCTGGGTGTGGTGGTGGGCGCCTGTAATCCCAGCTACTCGGGAGGCTAAGGCGGGAGAATCACTTGAACCCAGGAGGCAGAGGCTGCAGTGAGCCAAGATCCCACCACTGCACTCCAGCCTGGGTGACAGTATGAAACTCTGTCTCAAAGAAAAAAAAAAAAAAAAAGGAAAGAAAGAAAAGAAAAAGAAACACAGAGAAATAGAAATACCATTTCTGTGATGAGCCCTTGTACATTTTTGGTGGACCGAGGTTTCCATTTATAACATCCTTCCATTTAGAATGTCCTCGTTCATAAATTCTACACTTGGAGATAAGAAAAACTCCACCTATTTCTAGCCTGTTCCTTAGTTACCTTCCCACATTCCTCTGTTCCATAAGGACACTACTTAAACATAACAACAAAGAGAGTCACCCACAAAGATGTATTTCTAGGGACTAGACCATGGCTGGGTGGAAAGGAACGATCCAAATTATTGCAGTTCTTGCACTGGCTTCCTCGTCATCAGCTCCCTGCAGGGGCCCCAGGGCCCATTTCTGAGAGGAGGAGCATTAGTAGCCATGGTGCTGGGCAGGAAGTGGGTGGGAAGCTGTTGATGTCTGATCACTGCTAATGCACATTTTGCCCACTGTTCTCTCCCCTGCAGTCTGAGTACCACTATGAGTACACCGCGTGTGACAGCACAGGTTCCAGGTGGAGGGTCGCCGTGCCGCATACCCCGGGCCTGTGCACCAGCCTGCCCGACCCCGTCAAGGGCACCGAGTGCTGTAAGCAGCTGTCCCGCTCAGGGCCTCCCTGTCACTCAGCTTCGGTCTCTCCCCCAAGTCTTCTGCCATCCACTTTAGGCCCTTCCTGGCAGAGCAGCTGCATTAATCAAGTCTTTTCCCTGTCCCTTATGAGATTTTGTGCAGAAGTACTTCATGAATGCAAACTGGATATCTGAATTTACTTTCATTTTAAAAGGAATTTAAATCCCATCAGTGGATACGGCGTAAGCAATGCCAGCTGTGTGCACTCAGATATTCTTTTCTGTTTGCATACATTTTCTTTTTTGCCTGTGTATGTCTCTCCAATCTATACTCACTCACCAGCCGCAATCAGTCATTAGGGAAGACTGAGATTTGCTTTCGTTCTTAAAAAGGAAGTCAGAGAGGCTAAGTTTCTGCAGAGACATCCTTTAACATGCTACAGGCCTCACTTCAGGGAGCAGGAATCTTCCCAACTATGGATCTGATTGTGCAAACGGAAAGGCAGTGACTTGCCGCAGCCCCGGCGCCCGCCTCTGTGACTGCAGTCACAACTTTTCTCCAGTTGGGAGCTGTTTCCCTGCATTCTTCTTTTAGGAATGCAAAGGGAATAACAGTAAAAACCAGGCAGTAGATTTAAGGAATTATTTGAAGAGTTGGAAAGGAGTTTGAAGACATTAATATTCTCAAATCAGCTTAGTACAGTGCCTGGCTAAGTGGGCAAATAAATAGTTGTTAAATTAATGACTGGATATTGCTGAGATCTGAGCAGAACTGAGGTGTGGGCCAGACGCAGTGGTTCACGCCTGTAATCCCAGCACTTTGGGAGGCCGAGTCAGGCAGATCACGAGTCAGGAGTTTGAGACCAGCCTGACCAACATGGTGAAACCCCATCTGTACTAAAAATACAAAAGTCAGCTGGGCGTGGTGGCATGCGCCTGTAATCCCAGCTACTCAGGAGGCTTGAAACAGGAGAATTGTTTGAACCCGGGAGGCAGAGGTTGTGGTGAGCCAAGTTCGTGCCACTGCACTCCAGCCTGGGTGACAGAGGGAGACTCCATCTCAAAAAGAAAGAACCGAGGTGTGACTGACTAGTGGAAACAAATGAGCCATCTTCAGTGAGCTCTGCTGACTTTAGTGAGTCCCACTATGTGTAAGCACCATGAAGTGCACACACAGTGTGAACTGCAAAGACAAATAAAGCACAGTCCCTGCGTTAGAAGCTTATGGTGGTGGAAAGTGCAGGCTTTCATTCATCCACTCATTGTTTCGGAAACATTCACGAAGCTCCCAGTCTGTGCCAGTCACTGAGCCAGCCATCCCCGGAGGGAACAGAGCCTAGTGGGTGGCAGACATATATGATATGAGAAAGAATGAGCGTTATGAATATTTAGGGATTAGGCATAGCTGGGAGACCGCTTGAGCACAAGTTTAGACCTGGATGAACAGTGACACATTTGAGGAAGAGCTTGTGGTCCAGGGTAGAGGCAACACGGAGAAGGTGACTGATGGGGCTGAGGTGGAGAAAGATCTGTTGTGGGAGGTCAAGCTGGAAAGTGAGGCTGGAGGGAAATTGTGGGAAACTTTGAATGTCAGGCCAAGAGCATAATTCTAGAACCAAATGGGAGTGGCTGTTTATTTTTGTAAATAAGGAGAATAATAGTACATATGTGTTTTAGTTTTTATTTTTTAAAAGGCAAGATCTCACTCTGTTTCCTAGGCTGAGGTACCGTGGTACAAACATAGCTCTCTGCAGCCTTGACCTCCTGGGCTCAAGCAGTTCTCCCACTTCAGCCTCCTGAGTAGCTAAGACTACAGGCACACACCATCACTCCCAGCTAATTTAAAAAAATTTTTTTATACTGACAGGTTCTCACTATGTTGTCCAGGTTGGCCTCCAACCCCTGGGCTCAAGTGATCCTACTGCCTTGGTCTCTCAAAGTGTTGGGTTTACAGGCATGAGCCACTGTGCCTGATCATACCAGTGTTTTAGAAAGGTACCTCTGACCACAGAATGATCAGAAATAAGAATAGGAAGCTAGTTAGAAGGATGTTGCAATGGCTGAGTTAACAGGTAATGAGAATCCCACCTAGCATGGTGGCAGCACAACCAGAAAGGCAGAGGCCAGAGGCTCAAGGGAGAAATTCAAGGTTGAAGGATCATGTGTCATTCAGAGGGGTCAGCACAGGAGACCTTGGCATCCTTTTCGCTGGAGAGCTCTCAGAATGGTCAGGGCACCTCTCCAAAGGAAACAGGAGTGCCAGGGACAAGCCCAAAGTCCCACAGCAAGGCAGAGCATCCATGCCCTAGATCTTTTTAAAATAACAGCTTTATTTGTATATAATTTACATGCCATGAAATTCATTCCTTTAAGGATAAAATTCAGTGGCTTTTTGAATATTCACGCAACCGTCATCACTCTGATTTCACATTTTAATCATTCTACAAAGAAACCTCATATTATTAGCAATTGCTCCCCAGGCCCCTCCCCGCAGTCCCTGGCAACCACAAATCTACTTTCTGTCTCTATGGCTTTCCCTCTTTTGGCCATTCCATACAAATAGAATCACACATAACAAGGAATATCACTGCTGAAAAAGAAATATTTTTAAAGAACAACAAAATCACACAGTAAACGCCATGACCCTGAATCTTAGTGGGCCAAACTCCTAGATCCCAACCCTGCGCTCCTCCTTCAGCTGCTCATAGCCCGTCCACTTCTGGGGCTGCAGTGACCTCACTGTCCTGCCTTGTCTCTGCCCTGTTTTCCAGCCTTCTCTTGCAATGCCGGGGAGTTTCTGGATATGAAGGACCAGTCGTGTAAGCCGTGCGCTGAGGGCCGCTACTCCCTGGGCACAGGCATTAGGTTCGATGAGTGGGATGAGCTGCCCCATGGCTTTGCCAGCCTCTCGGCCAACATGGAGTTAGATGACAGTGCCGCTGAGTCCACCGAGAACTGCACTTCGTGAGTTTGCACACACCCCCCACCCCACCCCCAGCCCACTGGGGAAGAGGCTGCAGGGTACCCTGGACAGCCTCCTTCGCTGCCCCTCAGGCTGGGCAGGGAGGATGGAGGGAAGAGGCAGCTGGACTGCCAGGGCGAGGCCTGCAGCTGTGCCCACAGGAGCAGTGGATATGACTCCGCCTGGCCCACTCATTGATTTAAACTTACCAGTGATAGACAGGCATTTGTGGGAGGTAAGAAACGTGGAAATAAGAGAGTGGACAAGGGGGACAAGGCTTACGTGGCCCAGTCTATTTAAAACAACACCCAGCTGGAGCCGGGCACAGTGGCTCACCCCTGTAATCCCAGTACTTTAAGAGGCTGATATGGGAGGATTGCCTGAGGCCAAGAATTTGAGACCAGCCTGGGCAACATAGTGAGACCCCTGTCTCTAAAAAAAGTTTAAAAATTTTGCCAGGTGTGGTGGTGCATGTCTGTAGTCCCAGCAACTCAGGAGGCTGAGGCAAAAGGATAGCTTGAGTCCAGGAGTTCACGGTTAAAGTGAGCTGTGATCACACCACTGTACCCCTGGATAACAGAGCAAGACCCTGTCTCAATAAAAACCAAAAAACAAACAAGCAAACAAACCCAAAACTGGATTTCCACCACAGAATTTCGGATCAGCCAATATACTTTCTCAGCTTGATTGGAACACAATATGCAAAGCTGGGGTATCTTCCCGGCTTGGATGCTGACTTCTTTTTTGTTTTTTGAGACAGAGTCTCACTCTGTCACCCAGGCTGGAGCGCAGTGGAGCGATCTCGGCTCACTGCAACCCCCAGCTCCTAGGTTCAAGCGATTCTCC